CTAATACTTATAAAAGCTTCTTAGTGTTCCTCGGACTGACTTTGGAGGTGGATCCTCGAAATCCCAGGTCTACCTCTTTATCAACCATGTAGTTCCTTGGGCAAGCAACTTAATCTCTAAGCCTTGATTTTCTCATCTGTAATGAGGCTGATTGTATCAACCTAGTTTAATTGTTTTCAGGATTGTAAACAAGAATCTGCATCTGTGCTCAGAAGTGATATCCTCTGTAATTATATCCTGAGGCCGCTTGGTCTGTTGCCCTGAGGCTTCACAGAGAGCCCTGTCTGCAGGTTTTCCAACTGCTGATGACAATCAGAACCTCACCCATCGCTCTGTGACCTCTCTCTGAGCTACTCCCTCCACTGTGCCCAGTGGAGGGGAGGAAGCCAGTCAGGACATCACTGGATTCTCTTCGGATACAGTGAAGGGGCCCAAGGGAGAGGAAGGGAAAGGGATGAGGGATGGCTCCAAACTTTTGCAACAGTTAAATGTTAATATAGGTGTGGGCATAGGAAGTATCTTCTAATGACAGAAGGAACCCAGGGAGTTTTTCAATCATCTCCTGCTTAACACATACAGATGTATTCATAATCACCCCTTGCCTCGGGCCTCGAGGCCCAGGTGGGTTCCAGACGGCCTGAGCCGCTGCCAGACAAGAGTCCTTAAAGAGCATCATGTAGACAATTGGAATGCCATTTATCGTGCAAAACACAATAAAACCCTGAGCTCTCTTCCTGTCTCAGAGACCTATAAATTATGAAAATTATACCTGCCCCAGGCCATGGACATATTGTTTTATTAAAGTTCCGATGAATAAACTTAAGGCTCTTAAAAATGTCCTCTTGGCTTTTCCTCCGGCTCACACCTCCAGCATGGAGCCTGCTGCCTGGGTTTGTTGGATTCCTTCACAGTTCTTCCGAAAACTCTTGAACAGATGTCCAGGCTAGGGGTGTGTGTGTGTGTGTATGTGTGTTTTAGTTGTTGCCAGAGTTACCCCCAAGACCATTTGTTCTGGTGTGATGTCCTCTTAGGGGATATATGGTCATGGACAAAGAGAGGGTTAAAATCTGCACCATGTTTTTTTCTAATATTGGGGCCTGAACCCGTAGGCTCATGCTTGCCAGGCAGGTGCTTTACCACTATGCTTCACCCCAAGCCCCTTCCTTCCTGTTTATTTTTACACTGGATCTCTGGGGAGCCTTCTATCTCCTCCATCATGTTCTTTGTCCCCAAATTGAGTCACTAAATTGTCTTTACTCTCTACCTCTCATCACACAATAGGCGTGACTTCTTTGGACCTGTTTCTACATCTCTAAGGGAAATAACCATGATATCTGCCACACATATTCAGTGTAAAGCAAAAGAGAAAATTCCACGATTGTCACCCCAAAGCCATCTCTTAATTAGGAATCTAGAGGAATAGGACCAGATAGATAAAGATAAGAGAAGCCCATTTTCTATGGAAAAGTCCAGCTTCCATTTCCAAGAGCATTTGGGTGGGTGGGACTTTAAGCACTCAACACCTGGTACAAGTTTTTGTTGCTTTAATCCCCTAAATTCTAGAAACAAAGTAGAAAAACCAGTGAGGGTGTGTGCGTGTGTGTGCGCGCGGGACTACCCTATGTCCCAGTAGAAAGAAACCCAAGACAGAGACAAAATATGGTAGACACCAATCAGGACTGAGCTGATTAAAAATAAATTATTCCCCAAGTGCCAGTTACTTACCTTGATGGGGAAGAAAGAATTGAATCACTTATTAACCTTTGTCCATCCCGGAGAGGGGACAGGCCACATGGTCAGGCAACAGAGAGGGAGGCCAAGCCTACTTTTATTCCAAAGTTTTATTATAAACAAGAACACCCTGAAGAAACTCCGTGCCTTCTTGGGCAGTGACCAGGAGATCCTTGGCAGGCATTTGGATGTCTCCAAAGGAACAAGGCTTGTATTTCACAAAGGAGCCTGGGAGGCCATAACTGGTGATCTCTAGAAAAACCAAGAACTGAAATAGGGATCCTGATCTCTCCCTCCACCCGCCCCTAACCATCATTGGTCATCTCTCCGGATTGGTAACAGGAACTATTAATAATTTTTCTTCCAGAAAACAAGGCATAAAGTCCAATTCTCACTGTGATTGACATGAGGTAATGAAAAAATCCCCCCAGTTGTGTAAACAGAGAAGTGGCTGGGTCTTACCAAGTTTGAGAGTAAGAGGGGATGGGGGACCTGGAAATCAAATGGAAAGTATATGAGAAGGGCAAAGACAAGTACTTCAGTGGATGGAAGGCTTTAGTGATCAAAGGAACTGGCTTTGGACAATATCCATCAATCCACTGTAAACCAGGAAGTCACCAAGGGCTTTTCGGTTTGGCTTCCTGAAGCTTATAGATTTGGGAGAATCAAGGCCTAAGTGAAGAGATGCAGAATTTTCACAAAACAGATCAGATTACTCTTCCCCACCTTGTCTATGAGTTACCAAGATCTCCTGTGTAGGAGACCACAGGCCCAGGAAAGAGGATTTCACAGCATCTGGTGGTCGTCAGTCTCCCAATAAAGTGAAGCTTTCCTTCAAGGTTCTTAGGTCATCCAAGAGGCRGGACAGGGGTCTGTCCCAGCCCAGAAGGACCGCGTTCCCTGCAGTTGATGCAGCGGCCTAGTGTTTTCTGACAAGCCAAAGGCCTTGCTAGGTGAGGATGGTCCAGAAACTGAACACACAGACACACAAGAAAACAACCTGTGTATATTTAACAATATATATTTATAGATATTTTCTAGATCAGTACATTCAGTTTTTAACTTGTTTTTTTCTTCACAAACAGAAGAACTCTTACAATAGTAGACTTTCTAAAATAAATACTATTAAAATAGAGCTTCAAAATAAATATTCTATACAAAGGAAACCTTCTGTGGTAACTTTTTGTGGTGGGGTGAGAAGGGGCTACAGTGAAGGGGAAAATGAAGTAGGAATGTGGTGGAGGGGGAGCCAGGGAACAGCTTTACTGCTTGCAACACGAAACCAAACTGTGGGGCAGCAAGTTAGAGAGAGCAAGAGAAGAACACTGCATACGCGCAGCTACCCACAGCCAAACAATAGCAATGCAATATTTGACATCCACTGTCACAGTAAGCAGAGAAGGCATGAAAATGCTTACCAAAGGCATGAACCAGAGGGCTGGTGAAGCTTGCAGGATGCCATAGTGAACTGTACAGCGCAAAGTTGTGTCCCTGCACCCCATCACACTTCCTGGGGCAGCATAGGAGAACGTGACACTTCAAGGTGACAGTCACCTGGGTTCTGGCCAGACACAATTTTCACGTGTGCAACCTCAGGCAAGTCTGTCTAAATGGGTCCCACTTGATGCACAGCAGGAATCAATGTAGACTCCAAACACAGAACAAACCCCACACCACATGCGTACCTTCTGTCTGTCAGCCGTGAAGGGTCAACAGAAGGGACCAGTCTTCACCTCCAGCCGGTTTCTCAGAGGAGCCTTGGTTGCACCCTATCACTTGATCTGGGAGGGTTCTGCTAGCTTAGACCCAGTTCCCAGGGTGCTTGTTGGGGTGCTGGCCTTCATGAACCCACCCTCAAGGCGGGGCAGGCAAGCAGCCACAGAAAAACTAGGCAAAGTGTCCTAGATCAACCCCAGTCCCAGGTCTAAGAGAAGTGGGAACCAGCTGGCACTTTTCAAGATGAGACGTAATCCAGCCAAGCAAGCTGCTGGTGACAGCAAGCAACCAGCCAGAAGCAGCTACAGAAATGTGTTCTCAGTGCTTGATCCCTCCACGGCTCTGGACTGGCTTGGGAAGGGCTGGAGGACCCACAGGCAAGCCACATTTTTTCCTTTTCTTTTTGGCCAACGAGCCAGGGAAAACCGATGATGCTGAGGGGACTGGTGCACGGCAGAGCTGGGAGAACCCAGGGCGCTTCCTTCACTGCTTCCCTTTCACCACTGCGCACGTGGGGCACAGAGGTGGACTCCTGGGGACAGTTCTGCTGACACAGATCTAGCAGGTTAAACACAAGCCACAACAGGGGAGGGGAAAAAAGAAAGAAGGCAAACCAAAACCCACAAGATCCGTGTTTACAACTATGTACACAAAAAGTCAGGGTTCAGGAGGCCATTTGCCAGGAAATGGGGTCTTTGTCAGTAGGGGGTCAGTGTGTGTGTGAATGTGTGCATGCATGTGTGTGTGTGTGTGTKKTGTGTGTGTGTGTACACAGCTTATGAAAACCAATTCTCCACAGAATGGGTGTGTAGACCAAGATCACCAAAGTGCAACTTGCCACCGGGTTAAGTTTCCCATGGAGACAATTTTGAGGGAGGGGTCCTGAGAACCAATCCCTTGGCCTTGCAGGAAAGAGTGCACGTGTACTATCATTTGGGGGKGGGGGGCGCATCTCTGCACACCTCATCTGAGGAAAAACTTCTCCAGCCCCTTCAGCACACTTCCAATACATTCAATGAGTAAGTGGTTGCTGAATGTTTGTTTTCACCATTCCCTCCAATTTGTGCAAGAACATCCATACATCCATCACAATTGTGGCAAGGGGAGCTATGTGAATTAGCCTTGGAAAATGAAGATGCAATCAATACCTTATACTCGCCTTTTACAAGCCAGCAGATGTTACATAAATAAAGCCAAAAATAATAAGACCCTCCCTTCCTCCAATCAATAAATACCTATGGTTACAATTAACTTATTCTAAATCATAAGATGTTAACTACTAATATCCGAAGGGCGGGGGAGGAGGAGTCCTTGAGAAGCATGAAGTACATGCCACTCGGGGCTCCCTGCCTCCTTTTTTGGAGGCAGTTCTGTTTCTATAGAACAAGCTGGAAATGCTACAGATGCTATCTAATGCGCTTCCATATTTTACCTGGGCATCTCTTCTGACCCAGGCCATTTCCTCTCAACAGATGGGGTGGGGGTGGGACACAACATACCACACAAAGCAAAAACCCCACACAACAGCTGGGGTGGGGGTGGGGGTTGGGGTGGGGGAGGACCAGACACACTACAGCTTTTGCATGCAACAAGTACCTACCCACTGGACGTGCTGCACTTTCCGAGTCCTTTAGCACCTTGAAAGAAAGAGTTGCTACGTCTTTGGGGGCTGTCGGGAGGGGGGTGTGCTGTGCACAAAAGCAGGGCTTGATCCCAGGGGGCCCCTGGAGAACTTTCCCACCCTCTCTTGAGTTCTTCTGACTCCCCCGCTGGGGCTTCCTAACACTAAAATATACTCTTTTCACCATCTCTATTTACATAAAGATACAGACGCGTCACTATACACAAAGGCTATGACAGTAAGCAGCAGAATCAGGAGAGAGGAAACCCAGCCCCAGCTCGGCTCAGCTGTCATTCTGCCAATGAGAGGTGCTGCCTCTTCTTCGCTGTTAAGATCCTCTTCTTGGTGGGCAGGGGAATTGTGTTCCTTGAGGTCACTTGCCCCCCCAGATTTTGATATCAGCCCTTCCTGGGGGTGGCCCAAAAGGAAGCAAGTTGTTTTATTATTATTTTTTTTAAAACACCGTTAGCATCTGGTTTAATTATTCTATAAAAACATCGCGACTGGATCCAGAGACCACAGCCTCAGACTCATTGGCAAAATGATATTTGGTCTCGCATGTGCTCCCCTGGCCTCCTCTACCCATCAAGTTTCTGGAAAGGATCTGAGTAGAGAGAACTCAGGACACAGAGCAGGTGGGCAAGTCTGTGACTCAGTAAGAACCRGTGGACGGTGTGTTGAGCGGACACCCCAAGTTAGTGATGCGGCCAAGAGAGAGGAATGCACTGCTCGGTGGCTCCGAAATCCATCCTGTGGTTCTGGGGAGGCAGGAGGAGGAACGAGGCTTCAACTCACTTGCTGTCCTCTGTTCTCAGCGACTCCCAAGTATATACAATAGGAATGGCTAGGGTTCTAGACCTTCTCCTGGACGCAGGAGCCAACTGGTGTGGAGGGAGGAGGGGAAGAAGAAGGTTGAGAAGTTGAGACTCCAAGGGTCTTCTTCAAGGTGACCCTGGCCCTCAGTTAACAATTCCTTCCCAGACAGTCAGCTGGCTTCTGTGAGAGCCAAAGATAATGGCAAAGTGGAGGGAGGAGCAAGGAGCCCAAAGGCCATCAAGCAGCTGCAACTTGGGAAATGCGTCCACATCTGTGTTCCGTCTTCTGAAAAAGAAAAATCCCCCCAAAATCACACCCTGCCCGTGCCACTGTCTGCTTGACACAAAGTTCCAAGACCCTAAAAATACCCAGAGTACATCTTCATCCTTTTGGGGAACAGAGGGTGGGTGATGGTGGCTGTCTCTGCCTGCTTCTTCCCAAGCCAGGGATGTGAAGCAAGGTCAGCCTCAGAAGACTGGCAGGAGGAATCACGTTTCTAGCGACAGCACTGGGGCTTCAACCCAAAGTGTCAGAAAGGCTTGTCGGGTCTGCTGGCCTTGACGTCCCCGCTGGTTGCCTTGCAGATGACGCTGTTCGTATGCTTGCAGCGGCAACCAGGGCGGCGCAGGCGGTCATAGCCACGCTGGGCCAGCTTCACGCAGCCGGTGGCGGGCAGGTAGCAGAGCAGGCAGGGCAGCACCACGGAGAGGGCACCCATGAAGGACCAGCGGGCGCAGCAGTTGGAACGGGAGCAGGAGCAGGGGTGGTCGGCGCAGGAGCCCTCATCGTCCTCGTTGGTGCAATGGTAGAAGATGCCCTGTACCAGGCACATACATGTGCCATAGTTGACCAGGGTTTGGGCCGAGCACAAGCACTCCTGGTTGCACACCCAGCAGGAGGGCAACGTCCGGGGGGACGCACACTCCTTGCACTTACACTTCCCACAGGCCTCGCACAGCAAGAAGTGCTTGTCCAGCTCTGGTGGGACTGCTGGGCCCTTTAGGTCCAGTGGCTTACAATGGACCACCTTGGGCTGGAGGCGCACTGCCCTGGGCGAGGCCTGCTCAGCCACAGGTGGTGGGGCCATGTGGTCTAGGAGCCGCTGATCAGAAGAGGTGCTGCTACTGCTGCTGACAGAGCTGGGGCGCCCACTGAAGGAGATCCAGTGATGAGTGACATCCTGGTCACAGCGGGCAGGTGTTGGGGCCAATTCTGGGGCCCCAGCCCGGGGCCGCTTGGGGCCAGTTGGGGGGGCCAGGCCAGGGTTGTCAATGTAGTCGTTCTCCACGTGGCTGGTCTTCATCTGGTCAATGGGAAGGATGGTGAGTGGGTGCTGGAGCCGACTGTGGGGCATCCGGCTATCAAGAAGGGGCTGCACCATGACTGAGCTGGGAGTCAAAGGGACGCTCTGTGGGATCGGGGGCTCCATGGGGCTGGAGGTCCTGGACCGCGCCGAGAAACAGGCTTCTAAGGGCCCTGGGGGAAAGTGGGGAAAAGGAAGAGAGAATGGATTCCAGGCATCAATCAGTAGGCAGCCTGTTAAAGGTCTCCCCCCCGACCCGCCCAACAGTCCTTGGAAGCCCAAGTAAAATGGGAATTCAATTCCCAAGTTTCCTTAGTGGACTTTCCAGTAACATCCAAGGCTTAGATAATTAATATTAATAATTACAATACTACTAATAATAATGGTAGAAATAACACTTATTGGGCTGGGAATACTTGCCTAGCATGCATGAGGTCCTAGTTTGATACCCAGAAAGAAAAAATTTAAAAAGTAGTATTTAAGTTACTCTTTTTTAAGTATCATGTATATCATTAAGTCATTAACTCTTTACAACAATGGTAAAATGTTATCAACTATTATCCCCCTTTTCTACTTACAAAAAAACTAATGTTCCAAGTAACTTGTCCAAAGTCACACAGAAGTATTAATAGAAGGACCAAGGTTCAAACGTGGGCAGTCTGAGTCTATTCTCACAATTGCTGTGAAACACGCTCATTTAAAATGTACAGATCAACATTTATAAACACAGAATCTAGAATTAGATCCGAGTTTGAATTCTTACCTTTGCCTACCAGCGTGTCTGTGGATGAGTTCTTTCATGTCTATGCCTTAGGCCTTAGTTTTGTCATCTGTAAATGGGTTTTTTAAACGCCTTTATTTTCTTTGTTTTTATGTGGTGCTGAGGATGGAACCCAGTGCCTCACGCATGCTCTGCCGCTGAGCTACAGCTCCATGTAAATGGGTTCTTGCAAGGATTAAATAAGAAAATGCAAATCCAGGACCTAGCCCACTGCCTGGTGCATGGCAAGTACTTGACAATTTATCATACCCGAGAACAGTTTAGATTCCGTGAGCACTGTCAAGCACTTGGTGCCAAGCATTGCGCTGGGTGCTGAACACAACCGCCCCTGTGTGCTCCCACGGAGTTTATCAGCTGGATAAACAAAAGCCATTATTTCAGATATTCACAAGAGAAGGAAGGGCTATATCTGATGCCTGCACATCCAGGATATTAACTTATTACTACTACTTCCAAGGGTAGCAACCTCCAGTGGCTAATAACTCCTGGGTAGGTGAGCTTCTGACACCTTGGATGGGAAATCCTCTCAAGGGGCGCTCACATCGCCCATTTCCAAGTGCTGAGCTGAACATTCAGCCTAAATGCTATTTACTAGAATAGCTAAGCCAACACTGGATCAGTTTCTAATTTCACTGAGAGAGTGCAATTTTAAGTTGGCATCTGGCCAGAGATTCAACTGCAGCGCCTGACATGGAACCCCAGGAAGTCACTTAAATCAAAGAGCGGAAACGGCTTGGTTCAAATTTAGAAAGTGCACATTGTTTTCTATTAGAAGTGCCATTTCCTTGCCTGCTGACCTTTACATTTGGAATTCGGATGGAGATCAATTTAAAGAAATAGCAGCAGAAGGCCGAGACCTCTGCTCAAGGGGATGCAATTTGGAATCCAAGGGACAGATTAGACTCTGGGAAGATTCCACCCTTAAGAACTCCAGGGGATGGGGAGAGGAGGGAGGGGTGTAGAAGGAGAAGATGACAGGCTACACAACAAAAAAACCCCACTGGATTAGTGTTATGGGTGGTGTTTCCKTAAAAGCTTTTGCAAGATGCTAATGACGTTGTAACTAGGAAAGCTGACCCTATCCCTCAGCTAATAGGTTAACTTTCTCTCAAAGGAGCTGCTGAAGAAGAGGATGGGGATAGTTTCCATGTGTAGTTCATCCCATATCTCTCTGGACTTGGGACACTGTGGGTCCATCTAGATATTCCAATCACAGGAGAGTGATAAGGAGGCATTCAAATGAACTCAGTATGTTACTTCCTCTGCCAGTTAAAATTGTTGAGGAAGATTTGATGCCTCAAATCAATCAAATAGAGCTAGCTCTAGATGAAGCAGATTAAAAAGGGTTCTGCAAGGCTCATCTGTGTATCATCTATACTGCTAAATGGGGAAAAAGGCAAATCTTTTCTACAAGGTTTGATGCTCAGTCAACTGATATTCCCCACTGACACAGGGGACCAACTATTGACTCTATTCCCACAGCCCTGCCCATTTAAAAGATGCTGGAATTTCTTTATACACCTTTTCCTATCTTAGATAAAGTCTACCTGGTGACATCACCTGCCCCAAAGATCTCTTCAGAGAACATCATCTTCAGTTAGGAGTCCTCCCAGTAGCAGTTTGCCTTAGGTATCTGGTGAGTCTGCCACCAGAGTAGTTATTTGCCAAGGCAGCCTGCCTTGGGGATCCTGTGGTCAGGGCTGGACAAAGAGAACACAAGGAAGTACTTATGGGTTGAAGTTTTTCYAGGGAATGCTATCTCAGGTACTCATTCTAAGTAGAGTCTCAAGGCCTTGCTTCTAGAATAAATGAAATCGAGGGTCAACAGACCAGGCAGGATTAGGGGCCAAAATTCCTAGCCTTGGGACTTTAACAAGAGGAAAAGGCTGAACTTGGTATAATGAAAAATGTTATGGATAAGACTCTCTGGCACCCTCCAAGAAGTGCCTCAGCTTGGAATCTCACCCTTAGACAAAGACAACACGATCCCCTTATTCCAAAAGCCTGAGTTAGTAATACTACAGGTCCTGCCAACAAAATATCAGTGGCAGTTTGAAGATGATATTGTCCCGTGTAGCTGGGGTTGTCTCAGCTCTGGGGTTCTGGCCATGCTACCAGAACAGTAAAGGTACCTAACCCCACCCCCGCATCTCAGATTATCCACTCTTGTTTTCCTAGTTCATTGCTGGAACTCTTTGAAAATAGCTGCAGGCAGATGAAACAAAAGCCATGGGCAATGCTCAGGGATTTTAACGGGCTCTGGAATCAGAGGGCAGATTCCCCAATTCACGAAAAGTCCCACCAGGAAGCCAGGGTGGGAGCAGCCACTGCAAGCAGTGGGGAAGTTGGCATTAGCAGGTTCCCATCACCCCCCACCCAGAGGCAGCTGTCAACATCTGGGCCTGCAATGGAGGCCAGGCCTGGGGGTGGGAGCTTGGCCTATGATGACTCAGCTCTCTCAGGACAAGAAGCATCTGATGGTTCCAGCAGGCATATTCTAAAATGTATCTTCCTACCATAACCTTCATGTAGGATCTCTCTTCCGGCTACTAGCTCAGCAAAAAACCAATGGCTGGCTCAGAGTTTCACTGCTTAAACTTGCTCAGGCCTGTGGCCTCACCTGCCTGGTACAGGGACCCTTGCTGTAGGAGGGCCCTCCAAGAGCCCCTGATGAATTTATTTGGCTGGTAAAAAAAGAAAAACAATTCCCGTTCTTTCTATTTGATAAATCACCAACACAGCTCCATGATGTCTCAAAAACAGAAAAACTGAGAGCTGGTTTAGAAGACCAATCTGCAAATCCTGGGACATGCCTACCCTCCACTCTGAATGCTATTGTGCATCTTAAGTGCAGTTTAATTAACTTATTTAACAGTACTGGGGATCGAACTCAGGGGCTACTACTGAGTGAAGTCTTTAGCCCTTTTTATTTTGAGATAGGGTCTTGCTAAGTTGCCCAGGCTGGCCTCAGCCTCCCAGGTCACTGGGAGTACAGGCATGCACCACTACCCTGGGTTTTAAATGCAGTTTAATACATACCTCTGCTTCCCCTCCAAGGAAGGAAGAGGTTCATACTATAAATAGGAGACAAGGCTTTGCCTCATGTAGGCTATTTGGAAGAGACTGATAGCCAATTTGGAAGACTCTAGAAAGAGAAATGAAGCCAACACTGCACTTAGCCAAAGAAGCATCTCTTTGGAGTTTTAGGTGGCATAAGGCAAGAGAACTTTCACCTTCACTCAACATTCTAATAATAATTAAGGAAGCAGCTAATATTAGGAAGCATTTCTAGGCTCTGGCTAAGCACTCTTGCCATCACCTTGAAGTATAGTACCTATTCCACAGAGTTAGAAATGAAAACACAAAGGGTGGCTGAATTATAGGGAGTGATTAGGGCAGGATGAGACCCTAGACAGCAGGGGTTGTGAACTCAGCCATGCAGCCCTCCTTAACCCCGGAGTATTCATGGAAATACCAGTCACATTTGTAGCCATAGACCACCCCCCTCCTCTTCAGCCTCCCCAGTCTGCCACCAACCCCCAGGGAACCTCACCAGGCCATTTGGGGTCTCAGTAACTCAGTGAGCAGGGAAATGAAGCCAGTCAGGGCTTGTATCAGATTGCTCCCCAGTTAGAGTTTTCACTGTGGTGGAGAGTGGGAAGCTAAGGGTTTGTAAGTTCCTGTCATTCAAGGAAGGCACAGAGCTCAAGTTATCTCAACTTCTCAGTTTTCCCTGCTCTCCTTTCTGTCACCTCATCCCTCTTTATTTTCATTTTTAGTTTCCTTAAAATCCAATGGGTCTCACTTACAGGATTTCACTACAAAGCAATCCTTAAAAGGAAACCCTGGAAAGGGAATCCCCTCTGTTCTGCATCTACCAAGTTGAATTTACAGGTCCCTAAGCACCTTTATGGATGGCGCTTCCTGGACAGGTCTGTGGGGAAGGGAAGAAGTGAGGTACAAGGAAGCCAGAAAAGTTCTAGAAGACTAAATCCTCAGGATATGGAAACCCCCAGAATGCACAGCCTTTTTGGTGTTTGCTGTTTGGCACATCTGGGAGCCCAGAGCTGGCCAGTCTGCCATTTGTACCTGCGGGGAAGGGCTGCAGACCTACAGGCCAGGTGCAAAGAAGCAAGAGGTCTGTTAATCACCCAGCACAACTGGGTTCACACAAGTGGGCCAGATGCCTATTCCCACCCACATCTTCCCCTGGACTTACCCTAGAGAGGGGAGTTGGGAAATATTGGGAAAACCTGACAGTTGTATTTTGAAAGCCATAGGTCAGCTAATGACAAACTGGCAAAAGGCTCTGACTGAATGGGCAGTTTTTGCACTGCCCCATTGAGTCTCTGGGGGTTCTTTCAGTGAAGGTTGTTTAACCCTTTAACAACT